AGTTCGGTAACGATTATCATGTCATCGATTCGGTTCAATTCGATATCACGATGCATCACAATGCATTGTCGATGCACTGCATCCTCAATGTTTAATTTTACTTCACATTTATACAATTTTGTCAATAAATACAAGCAGTCAGATATATGAACTGTACCTGACCTGGTTTCTTAAGTTAGTGGTATTACCCCCTGCTAGTGATGTGACATTTGAATCGAGGCATCGGAACTTGTGTCGAAAATAAATGGGCGTGCCAGATGAAGCCTCGATCCGAAGCTTGTGTTGTGTTGTTAATTGTCATAGAAATCACGTGAACAATGACAAACGAAGCTTCACTTTCTGTTGCAGAGGTTAAAGACTACGAACCTCCATTTGGCTCTAAAGTCCGAGAGCACCCCTGTGTGGAGAGCATGAAAGACAATGTGCTGAGAGACCGGGGCAGACCAGAGATCCCCAACAGCTGGATGAAACACCAGGTAAGACAGTGTATTTACAGCATATTAGCAGAGAGACAAGCAACTCCTTTGGGGAGCTTTTGGAAAAAAGCATACATTTCTTCTTTGATAACATCTTTAGTTATATATTACACTACTGTTTAAACATTTGGGGTTGGTAAGAAGGTTTTTTTTTTTTTTTTAAGAAATTCATATTATTATAAAGCAAGGATGCAATGACTTGATCAAAAGTGAGAGTAAATACATTTATAATGTTGCAAAATATTTAAATTGCAAATAAATGCTGTTCTTATGTTCTTACTCTGCAATTCATCAAAGAATCCTACAGAAAATGTAGCAGTTTCCACAGAAATATTAAGCAGCACAACTGTTTTCAACTGATACTAATATGAAAAGTTTTTTTGATACCAAATCGGCATTTTAGAATGATTTCTGACGGATCATGTGACACTGAAGACTTGGAGAATTGATGCTGAAAATTCAGCTTTGCAATCACAGGAATAAACAAAATTTAAAATATATTAAATTACTATATTTTTGATCAAATAAATGCAGCCTTGGTGAGCATAAGTCTTTTTTTTTAAATAATAAATAATTCATTTTTTACATAAAATTAAACAATTTTTTACGCAAAATGTTGTACATTTTTTCTGTAAACAATGCATATCTTAGGTAATTTAGCTTCCCATGTTAATGTGTGTAGTTTTAAGGATGTTTAGATATTTTTACTGGAATACAAAATACTGAGTAAGAAAACTATTTTGTGCAGTTAAAT